GGTTCCATGTGCTACCTGCTTTGGCTTTGAATACTTCGACTTCAGTGTGATTTTGCATTCTGGATTTCTGTGCTTCGTCCATACTCATGTTCCTTGCACTCGGATATTAGCATCCGAAATTTCTGATATTCGCATACATAGCCGAAAATTTCTGATGTTAGCGTTTCCTTTTCTACGCATATTAGGATAACGAGAGAGGTGGTCACACTCTCGGAAACCGGATTTATTCTGTTCTGAAAATTGAATCTCCATTCTATCTCGCGAATTTTTTTTGAAAACCGAAATCTTGCGAAGCCTATCAGCATTTCGTTTTTAGACATACTAGGAGGTTGTCATATTCTCAGAAACTGGATTTAGTTCTTTTCTGAAAATCGCATCTCTACTCTAGTTTGCAATTTTTTTTTTCAAGATCGCATTTTTGTGAAAGCTGAAACTTTGCGGAACCTGGCCAAGATCTCGCTCATAGTACTCTTCGGGCATGCCTCACTCATGCAAGGAAGATGAGCAATAGCAAAGTGCCTGCCTCCAGATTGGGCATTCGGGTCCTGGCTGCATGCTGCGCTATTTGCTGGCTGCCGCCTACGCGCTCACGGGCGAGCAGGGAACGAGCAGGCAGCCATAGCCGAGCTGCGCTGATGTAAGCTGGGTGTGGCGCAGAGTGGTCCTTGGGTGCAAGTGGCATTTGTGTGTTGGGGAACGAGGTTGTGAGTAAGGCGAGAGACATACCTGGTGCTGGAAGCGTGCGACATTGGTCGATGTATGCTCGTACTTCAGGAGAGCTGTTGTCGTCAACTTCGACATTGTAGTATAGGCTAGATAGGATCTGCCACATGTAGTTTGGGCGCCGAGCGCCAGATAGGATATCAACTCTGGTTCTTCGCCGACCGCTAGATAGGATATCTCCTCTGTTGCTGCTGCCTCTCCCTAAGCAAGCGGAACAGATGTTTGTCACCCTCTGGTCCTAATGCCAAATGGGCTATTGGGCGCCTCGCCAATCGCAAGATCCGGTCGTCCTCTCTAGTGTCCTCCTCGTCGCTCATAGGCTACAACGTTGTGCACCGTCTACTCTAGGACACTCTAGGTGCCTACCGCAACATAATGCTTAGACCAACTAATCAGTTGGTGGCTATTTTGGAACAGATACCACTTGAGGTCAACAGGTAAGTCAGATTCCTACAACTGAAACTATTTTTAGTCTGACTAGTCCGCAAACAGAAACACCAGGAACAATAAACAGTTCTAACTAATGTTGTCTGTCAGATGTCAATGGCAGTACATCTAACTAATCAAAAACATAAAAATAGAATCATTTGTGTGGATAGGATAGCATGGAATTTTCTCGAACTTATCACCTGGAATCAACCCCTCCCTTAGATCCCCTGAGTATCAGTTGACGTCAGCGTCCCTGAGCACTCTGAAGAGGTTTGCGTGTCTAAAGGTTTGTTCCGCCCACCCCTGCGCCCCAAGTATCCACTGAGCTGGCCAGCCTTGCACATATATTTATCCTCGGCGTGCCGCGAGCCTTACATCACTGGCTGATCCAGAGGCATTTTAACGTCCGCCCCCAAGCGACATCAGGAATTATTTTACGTCGCAGCAGGACGACGGTCACAGCCAGTGATATCCCCTTCCCGTGTTTATTTATAGACGCCGGGAGCTCGTCTTTCCTGTAGGGCTGGCCTGCCCACTAGTACCCATCTAACAACGCAGCAAGCTGAACAAAGGACAAGCAGCAAGGCATGCGTGCTCTACTCCTTGTGGGTTGGCATGGAGACCGTGGCCCAGTGCTTCGTCCAGGGCCCTTCAGAAAGCTCCGCCCATCTCCACCCAAATGCTCCACGTGAACATTGCCGACTCTCAAGGTTGGGCGCACTCGACACCTCACGATGAGAGGACTCTCAAGAAGGAACACACAACCTCACATTAAGAAGTGTCGGAAAGCGAAGATAAGGTTAAGAGCAACGTACCTCAATTAGCTGCCCCCAACCACAGAGATAATCTCACCAGATGACCAAATGGCGATTGCGATGACCAGTC